CCCCCCCCCCCCCCCCCGCTCCTGAGATACGCACTTGTCACTTGGAAGATTAGAAAAATCAACTGAGCATCTTCTAGCCCAGCTATGTCCTTCAAATTTGGTGAATACAATCTGCTACATGTATCTAGTATGGTAAAGTTGTGATTCATAAGTTGTGCAAAATTCAGTATTTAAAATAAGTTATTTGCCATCTGATTCCCACACAAACACTGTAATTTTGCCTACCCGTCAAGATGCCTTCGAAAACCATGATTAGGCCTATTGGAAACTTGTTTGGACCATTCAGTTTGTAGTGAAGAAAACTTGATTGCTGTGTAAGTTTGGTTTGAGATAAATTTATCAAGGCCATAAACCTTAAATTGTTATAGGCTGAAATAATGAGTTTAAATTATTTTATGAAATTTGGATTTTACAGTTTTACAGCAGCATTTCACTTACGATAACACAACTGCCAAACAAATAAATGAACTAAATTTGAAATAAGTATTATAGCAGTTTCAAAATGTTGGTTAGTGATAATTAGTTTCACAAGAAGCAGTAAAATGATACCACAATTTAGATGGATTATTTGTTTTTATTCAACCACAACTTTGCCATCAACTAACTTTGTCATTATCCTGCTTATTCCAGTTATGAGCTTGTTTTTTTGAATTTCCACATTATCCATTCTTGCTTAACTCTTTGTTTGTTTAGTTAAAACCAGTTTTCGTATAAGACTTGAACCTAACCTGGATTGAATGTTATATATGCAACAGGATGTCAAATGACTTTTGACAAGTACCTGTGATCTTTTCAGGTGTTAACTTACATGTGTGCCCTGAATAAAGAATGTGAAATAATTTTTCCTCGTAAATACACTTTAAAATATTTTTGTTGTCAAGTTTTGTGGCAATGCTAGTTGCAATTATGTTATTATAAATTGCAACATGTTTTCCCATAATTTGTAAAAAATAGCATCTTTATTTGTAAGGCCTGATACAAACATGACCTACTTCTGTGAAAAGACCGTTGGTTCCATCTTTGAAAAAAACCTGAAGACAAGTTTTATGAAGAGCTGTTGACTGGCTTTGTTTATAAAATCAATTGCAAAGACTCTGAGAAAGTTTATATTAGACAAACATCACAAGCTTTAAGATCTAGAACAAAAGAACACAAGAGAGCTGTTTTTGCAGGTGACAAGAACTCTCTATTGGCACAGCATTGTAGGCAAAACAATCGTGAATTCGAATTTGATGATACAGTACATCTTATTGAATATTGTTCCCAATGGTCTTGAAGATTGTTTTGGAAGCCTGGCATTCTATTTGTGAAACAAATTCTATTAATGAACCCATGCCTGTACACATTCCAGACATTTACATTGTACAAGTCGTTGGCTATTCCCTAGTGAGGTTCTCATGTTCTTTAAAACATTTCACTTGCATCTGGACACCGTTGTGACTTAATTAAGCAATAGGCCACTTGTTTTATGGGTTTACTGATGCAATAGACTATGCGGGATGTTAAGAAAACGCAAGAAAAGCTTGTAAATCACGAGCTGCTAGGCAAGTGATTTACAAGCTTTTCAAGGTTATCCTTTCAAATTTCCATGGATATGTTTAATGAAAAGATATGTGCATTATTGACATCCCAGCCAGGGAAAGCCAAAACTGTTTACTACTCTTGTTATGGCTAGTGTTTTGCATTCTGTTACTAGTTCCTGTGTGGAGCTGCCATAGATCAGGAACTGTGGTTTACTGGTAAAATAGAACCTAGGTTTTGCTTCTCTATTGCATCTCCAATCAGATTTCATGTAGTATCTCAGTTATTATATAATGCGGAATAAGGTTGTGGTATTTTAACTAAAACATCCAATTAATTATCCATTCTATAATTTTCAGTCAGTTACAACAAATTTTCAGTTTTTTTTAACTTAAAATATATGTGTATGTAAACTTACATGAAAGCCATAACCTGATAGGCAGTGATCTACACATTAGCATACATATTTTCTAATTCTTCCAAACCTTCTCAAGTGTGCGCATAATCTTCTGTGATGCAGTACATATACATCATAACCAGGAACAAAATGATGGAGAAAGCATGTTAATAAAAACAATGTTGTAGGAAATTGGGGATGCATTTTAGTGTTCAGGTCCACTACAGTCAATATATAACCTTAACCTTCACACTTTTCCACCAATTTTGGGAATGAGCTGAAGCAGTGTCAATTTACATCAATGTCATCGTTTTTCATCCCAGATTAAATTTTATCCCATTTTCAGGAAGATGCCAAGAATTCAGACTCAGCTGAAGAGTATTCACCTATTGTGTTGCAAGAGATTTCATCAAGTTTCTCTTCCTCTACATCAGAACTGGAGGAAGTTGTCACTCCAACAGTTGCCCCTGCCACTCCTAGCGATGATATAGAGCCTTCCATTACTACAAGTACTGTGAGTAGCATTAAGCCCCATTCACAGGAAAACAACTATGTGTTCTCCTCTGTGATTCTGATTCCACCTAGTAATCCAGGACAGATTCAGCCATCAGAAGGTGCTCAAAATGTTGAAGGAAGCACCTACCTTGAAGCTCTTCCTACCACAGAAGCAGAAGTTTTGTCATCAGTTTTGCACTCCAAGTAAGTTGGTGGCTTTTGGGGGGGGAAGGTGGTGGGGAGGGGGGGGCGGTTGATGAAGCATTTTGTGTTGGATACTGTATGGTCATGGTAAAAGTAAATTATGTTAATTTCAATGTTGCTTTTGCTACTGCAGCCCTCCAGCTGTAATCAGCAGTAAACCAGCTCCAACCCCGCCCTCACCTATGACCGTAAAAGAGGATGATGATAGCATTACAGCTGCCTTGAACCAAGCAGAGGAAGAGACCAAACCCAAGGAGGAGGAAATGCCATCATTTGACGAATTCAAAAGGAGAGTTTTGCAGGAGGAGGAGGAGAAGAGCAAACAACAGAGTGCAGACAATTCCAATGGAACTGCCCACAAACTTAAACCTAAGAAAGTCAAAGAAAGAAAACAGAGCAATTACGCATCTGTGGACTGTGGTGCAAAGATTCTTGATCATAATGATGAGGCATCAAATGCTGACAGTATTTTAGTGGAGAACAAGGACTTGTACATGCTAAACCCATGTAGTGCGAAAGTTTGGTTTGTTGTTGAGCTGTGTGATATAGCCCATGTCAAGAGTATTCAGATTGCCAACTTTGAACTGTTCTCATCCACACCTGAAAGTTTTCGGGTTTATGTTAGCAAGCGGTATCCAACAAGAGAGTGGACAATGTTAGGAACATTTCAAGCTCGTGAGGAGAGAACAATACAGACCTTTCCTTTGGATGAACCAATTTATGCCAAGTACTTCAAGGTATGGTTCCTACACATTTTACTAGTGCATTTTTGTTAGTCATAGGTCTAATCGAATTTTCAAACTCTCCAATTAATTTTACAGTATGTTAGACATTATGTTTGAGCACTAATGTTTCTTAGCTTTTTGAAAATCTTTTTCACAGATCTTGTATGCTTTGATGACATAAGAACGTACCTGTAACAAATAGAGAAACTATCTAGACTTAATACTTACAGCATGTACATGTACAGAGATGTCATGAGAAGAACTGGTCAAAAATAATGACTAAACTGTATTTCGCCCATTTATGTAGCCCTCTCCTCTTTTTCTGGCAAGCTTTCCACTCACCCTATTTTTAATGAGAAAATATGAGATTCATAGTTTGAGGGTGTGAGCCAGAAATATATTGAAAGCCCTCTTCGTGAGACCTGCAGGCTAGATGGTGGAAATACAGTAGAGTGTGTTTAACAGTAAAGGGTATGACTGGACAGTTGTAGTTTAGTAATAGGAATTTTGAACTCAGCGAAGTGAGGGTGTTAAATTGAGGGAGTGTCTGTCACCAGGGGATGTACATGAAAGATCTTCCTTCCTACACAATCTGGAGATGCAGAGGAAGATTGTAATCTCCAGTAACTTGCATGTACATGGAGTTTAGAGAATCATCATTTAATGTTGCTGTACAATTGTATTGACAATGTAGGTAGAGATGCTAAGTCATTTTGGCTCTGAACATTACTGCCCACTGAGCCTTCTACGTGTGTATGGCAGCAGTATGATGGAAGAGCTGGAAGATCATGAGATAGAGGGACAGGATGATAATGAAAATTCTGATAGTGACTCTGACGTGCCAGTATTACCTCCAGAACCTGGGGCAAAGGTTGACGATGAACCTAAAAAGCCTAATCTCCTTGAAAGAGCTGCTGATACTGTGATTAGTCTTGTCAAGAAAATTACTGGAAATGGGCAAGACAAAGAAAAAAGTGGTGATGACTTAGAGAAAGCGGGTGGTACCCTTGAGAAAGGTAGTATTGCGCTGAACTTCCCTGACTCAAGTGGTGAGGAGGCTTCCAGTGAGAGTGAATCCCAAGCTGAAAGCAAGAACAAGATTGTAACTCTTCTTGTTCATGAAGAGCTTGAGGAAAGCCCCATGGACAGCAAGGCAAACAATTCTAATGGCACTTCAGTAGAACAAGATGAAAGTAATGCTAATTCACAAGAAGGGAAATCTACATCTGTAAACACCAGCAGTGAAGATAGTTCACTTTGTAAGGAAGTGGAAAATGGCAAGCAATCAAAGACAACCAGTATTGCCTTAACTCCCTGTCAGGCATTTTCTCAAGCAATTGGACCATACTGTTTGGGATGTTTCATGGGACGATTGTTGTTCTCTAAGAAGCAGTACCAGGATTTTACATTTTTAGATGGTATCAATGGTAGGAAAACGGACCTTTTTAACACAACCAATTCTAATAGCAAGTCAAGGAAGCAAAAGGATAAACCTAATGGAGAAAAGGAAAGAGATGAAGAAGGAGAAGTAAATGAGCAGGAGGTACATGTGACTATCCAGGAAAAGCTGTCAGTCAATGAAATCTCAGTGGAGAAGAATATACCATCAGAAAATGAAAGCCAAGAATCCTCTGCCAGTGTCCTAGAACTCACTTCTAGCAACTTGGATGTGAAGAGTGAAATCACTGTTTCTATTCCATTGAATGTTGCAGAAACAGAAGACACTTCCTCTAGAATTATAAAACCTAGTCAGTCAGTAGCCATTTTAGTGGAACAGAAAAGTGGAACCTCTGATACCCAAACCCCTTCTTTAGTGGAAGTGTCAGTTGTCACAGCAACACCTTTAAATTCTACCCAATCATCATCTACCTCCTCTGTGACACTTCAAAGTTCAGAATTACCTGTGTTTGAAGAATCGAAAGTGATTGTTGTAAAAGAAGAATCTGATATTGGCAAGAAACAAACTGCCAGGGAACCACAAGCACCTGTACAGCAAAGCTTGCTGTCAAGTAGCTTGTCAACTATGTCGGACAGCGAAACTGCAGCATCAGTGGATAAGGGCACAGATAGTCAACCTGTTGAGCCTTTAGAATCAAAGAGTATTTCCAAGGAAGAGGAGAAAAGCAAGGATACTACACCAGATAAAATAGGCGAAAGTATAGAAGGTAAAGCTGAAATAACGCCAACTGAAGCCAAAGTTCCAAATTCACTCCACATGGTGCCGAATTCCTCTTCAGATATTGATGTGTTGGAGACAAAACTCACTGATAAAGAAGGACGAGAAGGGACAGCTGAAGTAGTAGAAGACCCACTGCCAGTTTTGAATAGTGCATTGCAAGACAAGCAAGTAACTGAATCTCAAAATCTGAATCTGGAATCTGAAGATGCTGAGAAGAAGGAGACTTCTCCTAATTTAGAAAGCCAGGAGAGTGGTCCTGAAGGCACAACATCAACTGTAGTAGTAGACTTCCAAAGTGTAGGTCCAACAGTTCAGCCTGCCTCTGCACCAATTGGTGACACTAATGACCTTTCAGACTCTGTTCTTCCATTGTCAGCTCCACCTATAGCAAGCATTAGTAGCCAAGAGTTTACGGCTGCAGCATCAGATGCTAACCTCGATGCTGCTATGCTGAGTAAAGCACAGCAAGCAGCAGCCTCTTCAGCTGGGCTGTCTTCAGTGGTTGGTTCAGGAGGACACAAGGAGTCCATCTTTGTTCGTCTCAGTAACAAGATCAAGGCTCTGGAGCAGAACCTGAATATGAGTACATTGTACATGGAACAACTAAATCAGAGGTAAGTTGAGTCCATGCCACCGTTCATGCTGGGAGAGCCATCCCTTTTTGATTGACTCCTACCTACCTTGTACAAAAAATAGTGACTTAAACCACCATCTTCGAGTTTGTACTTGCCACTTGCAGCTGAGTTTCTTGCACACTGTATAGTGTTTAGAGCAGTTTTCACTTGAGTGTTGAAGGAAGTTTGCTTTTTGTGTTGGGTTTTGTGGCAATGAATTGAAAACTGCTCTCTTACTATTGTCTGTCTAGGTAAGTGGTGTCCATGTGAGGAGGTGAGAGCTTCAATTGCAAAAAATATTGCCCATGATTAGGGGGCTAAGTTTCTTTTTAGGGGGGATGTTGCCAGAAGTTGCCATTCAATAAGCGGTAAACTTTTATTTTATTTTTCAGGGAGGATATGCAAATGAGTGCCTCTTGAATTGTTTTGTTCATTTTGGATTACTATAGAATAAGGGATCTTCATTTTACACAAAATTATTTTAGTGTTGTTACACTTGTCTGTAAAAATGCTAGTCATTTACATTATATGAAGAGCCCTCATTCTATAGTCACCAAAACAGTGAACAAAAAAAAAAGCCCAAGAGGTCATATTTTGAGTGTCCTCACTGAAAAATTAGATAGAAGTTTATCATGTATTGAATGGCAACTTTTTGCAACATCCCCCCTGAAAAGATCAAGTGTTTGTAATTCGAGTGTTGTTACTGTAAAAAGGGAATTTTTGAAGGGTAATTTTGACTTTTCTGCCTTTGTAACTTCTAAGAGGATTAAGCTATTTCAGCTGTGCTTACTTATTAAGAAACAGGTGTTAAAATGTGTTTCTGATTTTACTGATTGCAGGTACCGAAAGTCACTTGATGAATTACAGAAGAGCACTGACAAGAAAGTTGCCCTGTTGACAAATGCTACGAAGAAGGCAGAAGTTGTTGTAAGAACTTGTCATTATTGTAGATATATATTATATATTTAGTAACAACAATTGTAATAAATTACTAAAAAGCTCTTTAAGCAACTTTCTTTTACATGTACATCACCATGTTTTTATTCATAAAAAGCACTGATATTCTAAAATACTAGTTTCATTCCCTTTCCCAGCATCAGGGGTTTCATTAAGGGCAGGGTACTGGGTACATTTTGTGACTGCGAGGGTGATTTTGTTCGCCTGGTTTGACCATCTGAGGAAGTTTTTTCTGATAAAGAAGTTCAGATGAAAAAGTTTTACCCACCTGCATAAACCAGCTGGCCCCTGCTAAAAACGTTAATGAAATCCCTGCAGCATGCATGTATACCATATTATTGCTTGGTCTCAATTTGAGCTGGATGAACATCAAATCACCCAGACTACAGGTGCCTGGTACTAACTCAAGAATTAATGTTATCATTTATAGATCAATAGTCAAAAAGAGCAAATCACAAAAATGCAGTCCAAACTAGACAATCTGACCAGTGTGATAGCAGAGATGAAAGCACGCATGGATCCCCTCAACAAGGAGGTGATGGAGAGGCATGTCATTGGACTGTGTATTGAGATTGTCTTGATCCTGATGCTGTTTGTGGTGTTTGTGAAGAGAAACAACAACCATAATATTCCTGACACACCCAGGGGGTCAGGACACTATATGAATGGTAAGGGCCCTCCTAGATTGGCAATTGAAGATGGCCATAAGGACAACGTCTTCAAGCCAACAGGTAAATTTTGTCAAATATCATAGTCACCTTTAGTTACAATACCATTGTTAACTTGATTTGGATTAAGTCAATTAATTACCATGCCGAATTTGGGAAGCTAATGTTTTAAGTACATTGTATTAGCCTATCATCTGAGCATATGCAGCCAGAGAATGTTTACTTCAAAGAGGGACTAATGATCATTTCAAAGGACTCCTACTAGAAAAATCACATTTCTAAATTCACCACAAGCTACAACCTAACCAGCACAACAGGAACAAAGTTGAGTGTTAACCTGTTTTGTATTCACTTTTGAATACTAGATTTTAGCTTTTAGTTGCCAGATACTCATCCAGATTCTTAAAAAATGATTTAAATATTAGAAATAATTATTGCAAAATTATTTGAACATTTCATTGTTTCCTTTTAGTTTCTCTAAGTGGAAGGGAGCAGCTCCTGTGCAGCTTTGGAAAGAATTCTGAACCAGATACTGTTGGAGCAAGCACTACTACAGATGATAACAAACTAAACAAGGTCAGATACATGTACATGTAAATAAACTGTTTGTGTGCAAGGCATTCTTGAATACATAACTACAAATTCTAAGAGCCAAATAGTTTAGAGGTACCAATTATTATTGACTTTGGTTTCTATAGATGCTTATTCACCTCCAGCATTTTTCAGGTTGCTGGTAGCCTTTTATATTGTGTGTAATGCATGCTGAAAGATTAAATTAACACATTGACCCCAGCAAGGGCTCCAACCACCCAGTCATCTTGATTCACATGCCATCATACTAACTATTAGGACACTGGTTCCCCCACAAGCTTTTTAGCACTGTACTGTACATAGACCTGTGGTTTATTGAATCGAGCCTATATGCATTGGATAACAAAACATAAAACTCTCGAGAATGATCGGTCAAACTGACAGATGACATGAAATTTTATTGTCAACTG